GAAAAACCCCCACAAACCCCCAAACTCCAGGTGAACAAAACCCCTACCCACCATACCAAATCACGAACTCCTCTGCTGTGTTCAGTGCCGCCCCCCCCCGCCCCAAGCCAAATGCATAATAAGGTAATGGAAAACTGCTTGAGCGTACAGTTGCATGTCTAGTCATATAAAACTGCTATCCAGTGTCACAGCTGAAGATGCTGAGATCTGCAACAAGTGAGTGCAGAATCTACATCTCCTTTATAGCTTCTGCTCCAATCCTACAAAGATTACTAAATTCTTAGTGTGTTCAGGTTGAGTATAATAATTTTATTCTTACGGGGGCAGGCAGTCGTCTTTATCTAGCACTATAGGCTATTGTCTCTTCTGTTAATTTTTGCTGTTTAAATTATTCCTTTGATCTAATTTTACAGGCTTCTGGAGTAACAGTGAATGATGAAGTCATAAAGGTTTTTAATGACATGAAAGTAAGGAAATCTTCAACCCCAGAAGAGATTAAAAAAAGGAAGAAAGCTGTTCTCTTCTGCTTAAGTGACGACAAAAAACAAATAATCGTGGAGGAGTCAAAGCAGATACTGGTTGGTGACATTGGAGATACTGTGGAGGACCCCTATACAGCCTTTGTAAAGTTGCTACCTTTGAATGATTGCCGATACGCTTTGTATGATGCCACATATGAGACAAAGGAATCTAAGAAAGAAGACCTGGTATTTATATTCTGGTGTGTAAAAGCAAAGCTTGGTGTTAAAGTTGAATATTTTGGAATTCACAGTGGATGACTGAATAACTGTTTTGTTGTGGTTTTCTGCTTTTCTTTAAAGGGCTCCTGAAAGTGCACCTTTAAAAAGTAAGATGATCTATGCAAGCTCTAAAGATGCCATTAAAAAGAAATTTACAGGTACAGACCTAAAAATGTTGCACTCGTTAATTATAATGTCGTTTAGATGTCGATGTTCATTGTTGTCCATCTGTCTTTTCAGGTATTAAACATGAGTGGCAAGTAAATGGTTTGGACGATATTAAGGATCGTTCAACACTTGGAGAGAAGCTGGGAGGCAACGTGGTAGTTTCACTTGAAGGAAAACCCTTATAAAAAGACAGACAAGTGCCATCGGGATCTAAGGAGCTTCTATTTCTGCAGCTCGTTCAATTGGAATAGCATTAGTCTCCCCGTCCCCTTCCCTCCTCAAAAAATAAGTCCCTTCCCAAATACCCCTGAAGGAGATGTCATTGTTAAGCAGTCTACTAGTGATTGCTATTAGACTGCTTAATCCTGGTAGTTTTATGTCGGATCCAAGGAATGCTTTCACGTCATACTCTTAGCCAAAACTGACGTTGCAGGCATTCCTTGCAACATGTACAATGAATGTGATAGTTAATGTGAATAGTTCAGCAGACAGCAAAGGGTAAGCTAATTGAATGCCTTGAAAGTATTGTCCACTGATCGGATGGTAGACTCTGTACAGTATTACTTACAGTTGCACTTGATTGCAGTTCCATGAGGCTCTTGTGTGTTCATACACCTCACCTGCCTTGACAAGCCTATTTTTGTGACATGGCAGCACACAACACTATGCATTTAAAGCACTTTTTTGTCATATGTTTGACCCTCCCTAACACCCCCCCCACCACCACCTTTTTCCCCCCCCCCGGCTTTTTCCCTGCCAAGGAATGCCAATTAAGTTGCTGTAACTGTGTCATCAGATTATTGTAGTACCTCAGTTTCGTTCCTGTTACATGCATATCTCTATAAATCCAGTAGCTGTTACAATGCCTTTTATTTTCCATTGAATGTACACTAGTGAACAGGAGTAGAAGTTACCTGGTTACTACGTGAGTCTTGAAACACTAAAGTTTTAGAAAACATCAGTCATGGTGGCAATTTCTGTATTAAAAAGAGCCTTAAATGGAACATTGTTTTTGAGATCAAAAACTAGCCACATTGCAATAAAACTTGTGGCTTATTACAGAACGTTGCCTTGTTTTCATTGGAAAATATAATTTTTAAGTAATTTAAGCATATTTCAAATAACTTCTGTGGAAAGTATTGTAAAGATTAACAATCACTAATCTCATCTTAAATAATGCAATTTTGTCATTCCTAATCATGATTTATTTAGGCACTGCTTTACAGTACTTTGTGACTCTGTTCTGATCATTCAGTAAAGGACCTGATCCTAGTTTACTGTTAAAGAAGCTACCACTACAAGAGACCATTAGTTCCATGAAACAGTTATGTCAGAAACGTAAAAATACTAAGTAATTAACCACACAGTGTGTTTTGTATCTGAATGCTCTTAAAGTTCTACATGTCAGAGTAAAACCTTGCACGAAATCTTACAGCTCACTGTCTTTTTCAGTAGGATGTGTAATGATAGTTTTATGATATGCAAATATGAATCCAGTAAATAGTTTTTGTTTCTTGAGTTTTGCTGTTACGATGGACTTCTTATAACCGCTCTACTTGTTAGCTTCTATGTAAAGAGAACTGGAAAGTGTTTGCCATTACTGAGGCTTGCACTGGGGACATGTTGTGGCTGGGAGCCAGATAATGCTTTCCTTATAGAGCATTTGATCTGCTCTGTGTGAGCAATCCTCCGTTAGCCAGAGCTATTTATGGCAAACACATGCTTTTGTATCTTGTCATCGTTATCCACAAATGGCAAAACTGGACATGATTCTGTTGGGCAGCCACTCGCAGCTGAGCTGTGCATGCTGCTAGAAGGAATTCTCTTTATCATTACCTTATTTTAAAAAGTTGGTAGAGTAGAACTGTGGAGCTTTTAAATATGGGCACTGTGCGTTCAGTCTATAGCCCTTTTTTAACAAGGAAGCGGATAATGATAACTTTTTTTTGTCAATAGTTTAAATAACCTAGTGGTACTGTGTTTAGGCTCTCTTGTCCTGTAGAACTTTAAGACTTTGTTTCAGGCTTCTGGCTATCCCTATAACTTGCACACCTCACTGTGTTAGCTGTTCTATGTAGAATAAACTTTACTAGAATTTAACTAAAAAGGCATGATGACCACTGACTTACTAAGTGTATTAATGAGTCGGTTTTGTTCTACAAAACTCTCCTTACAGGTACCTTTTAAGGTTGAGAAATAACTGATGGTATGCATGCTGTCTAGATAAAAAAAGAAAAAAACATTTTTATTGCTCAAAATAGTCTCTATTTCTGATTATTCACATTGTGTGCAAAGCCCAGTTTAATGTCAACATCTACTTTGTGCTTTATGTTTGACTTGAGTTCAGTACAGTTTAATTAAATGATTTTAGCTGATTTTCACAAGGTATATATGGTTTCTTTAGAAAAAGCCAAAACTGAAAATGTTAAATTTTAATAAACTCTTTGAATTTCATTTTAGACAGTAAACTTTTTTAAGCAGTACTGTGTTTAAATTTATTGTTTGTCTCTGCCGCAGAGTCTGGAAAGATGTCTGTAGGTTCCAAGTTGAATATTCAAGTGGTTTTGTTTTTGCTTTTGTTTGTTTTTTTTTTTTTTAACTAGTTTAGTTGTATATTCACTCAGTCCAAGTAGATACAAAATTGAAGCACAAACTGTCTTTAAGTAAGATTCCTGCCAAAACAAGTTTTGTACCCAAAAGGATCAGCCTGCCTTCAGTTTGGTCTTGAAATGACTGACTGACTGACTGATGTGAGGTCCAATTCAGATGGCTTGCTTTTAAACAAAACCAAAAATTTATGAAGTGCTACAGAACTATTACTGTTGGAATTATGAAAAGAAATGAGAGACAACTGGCATCTGTTCCAAAATGGATTGTCAGCTGTTGTTTTCTATCATTATGCAAAATGGTGAGGGCCTCATTGTGATTGAGAAGTAGAGGAAAATCCTCTCCAGTTGACTCTCTTCTGTTTGGATGTGACACTTGGGTATCTTGGCTTCAGTTATTTTATTGATAAAGAAATGTTAAATAAAATTGTCATGAGAGTAGCTTGTGCAGAAATGACGGGTTTTTTTCTAAGAAAAAAGAAGACTTCAGGAATTGTTTTGTTTGACTTGATAAATCCTGGAACAGGTATAGACATCTGCGTTTGATTTCTCTGAAAAGGGAAACCAGTCCAAGACTAGACTCGGTGAGGTTCATGCTTGTGACAATTTTAGAAATGCAAAGCTTAAATTTATAGGGACTTGAGAGTAAGAATTACTCCTAGTCAGATCATGGAATTGATTTTGAGTATGTTCAGTTAAAACCCAAAGTGTTTCTTTAAGTGGAGGAGTCTCTGATGTACCATCCCCTCAGAATGAGTGTTGGAATACAGCAATTGCCACAATTTGGTAATAAGCTTTACTCTCTTATGCCAATTCCAGTATAAACCAAATTTTAATGTCTGCCTACTTTTTAGCAAGTTCCCCTTAGTTTGTGGTGGAGAGTTAATGCTTGTAGAGTGAAAACATGGCACTAATGGTGGGTTAAAGATCATCAATGTAGCACCTGTGTAAGTATTGAATTTCTTTGAAATATTTCTGATTTTGGAAACCTGGCATAAATAAAATTAATTTAAATGTCTTCAGATGTTGAGTATGTCTGTGTGCTACGCAGCACCTACACTAATCACTTTACTGTTGTCTTTGGATTGGGAGCAGCCCAGATGCTGTGAAACGAGACTGTGGAGTAAATGTGTGGAATGTGGGATTTTTTGCAATGTGTTTCCCCTACAGTCCATTCAGTTCCATACTTGTAGCAAAAGCCAACACCAGTGTCTCTGGAGATAGGTATAAAGAAATTTTTAGTGGGTTAGTGCTGGATAACCTTTTTCTTGTGCTGGGTCATAGCTCCTATGTTGAGATAATCAGATATTTTTTTTTTTTAAAGTAAAAATTATGTTTATGCTGACAACACTTTTTTAATACTTGGAAGAAAGTGAGCTCATGCAGTGTGAAAAAGGTGATACCATGAAGAAGGATCAAAAGGTTATCCTTTTGGTATCAGTGGTATCTACTGTTCATGTAAAATTTTTTGGATCTAGGAATAGCTTAACTGGAAGAGTTAATTCTGTAAAGAAAGCAGTCAAACAGCTTCATTGGATTCTCTGGAGAAGATAGACTTTTACACTGTAGATTAACAATCTTTTTTAGTGTTTACCTAACATAAGCTTTCTGTGTGGCTGTAGTGTCTTTATACACATTACTGCTTAGTTAAAATATGTTCTATTGCCAATCAGAAATATCCATTATCAATGTATATTGATATCCAGCGCTTGATACCCTATTGAATTTAGGCATTTCCCTGCCTTACCCCCCATGGTGTTAAATCTGTAATAACCCCCATACATCTTACTATTCCTTGCCTTGCTTACCTCTGCCATCTGCTAATATCTGACAAAAATACAAATGTGAAAAATAAAGCCTGTCAGAGGAAATTCAGATGGGTAACATGCTGTTTATTTGATGATACGATAGAATTTTCATTTTCTGTTGTAAGGCTTACAGCAAAAATGTGTGCTGTTTGGAGGCACTGAAAGTAATTTTGGCATTGTCTTTAATACCTCGCAGGTTAATATTTCTGTCATTAGTTTTACTTTGTACTTACTTAGAAAACTAATGGCTGGAAAAGAAACTTGAAGGTACTGCTGACTATTTTTAAAAGTTTCTCAACCAATTCAGATGATCAAAACCAACCTCAATTTCCACTGTTACCTTAATTTTTATTCTTGTGTGAACAGGCTTAGGAATGTGTGTGTGGCTGTAATCATGCCTTCTCCTCTTCCACCTCTTTATTTTTAAAAACAGCTGTGTCACTGCAAATCCCTACCATCTGTCCACCATCTTCTGCAAGGCTTTACAATCTCCACTTATACCTTTTAGTATCTATTTTTCCCCGCATTTGTGATTGTAAGGATTTGATTTAGAAAAACTAAGCGCTGTAATACTATGCTCCTCAAAAGTTTTTCTTTTATGGAGAAAGTTAAAAGCGTTAGTTACTCGCCGGAGAGCAACAGCTGCGGGGTATACATGGGCTTGAAAGAGGGGTGATTTTGAGAACTAGTTTAGAGAGTGTCTGCTTCCTCTTGGTGGCAGCACTGCTTCCATCTGTGACTTTCTGTTAAGGCTAATGTGAGGGCTAAGTTTTCCTTCCATTTTAGCTGTTTAAACAAAATTTAATGTGTATGGAACAAACAAGGTGTAGAGAGGCAGAGGAAGATTTAGAAGAAGCAGGTTTTCATAGATACCTGTACATCTGAGGGGAGGGAAAAAGGGTTTTTTCCCTGCCTAGGATTTGTTTCCTTTTAGTTTCAGCATGAGCTTTCAACTGTAACGACTGAGTTTATGTTATCTTTTGCTCTACCTGAACATACCGATTCCACAGTCTCCACTGTCTCAATGCTTTTAAACAATGAAATGTTAACATAAAGCTCTCTGGTGAAATTTGTTTTACTCCTATAAATATGAAGCCATGCTATAATGGGGCGTTTGGTTAGTAATGTCATATAGGTGGTGCATCTTAATGGCATTTGAAAAACCCTTTAAAAATGTGTCTGGAGATCAAGTCTCATGAGGAGCGACTGGGGGGACTGGGGTTGTTTAGCCTGGAGAAAAGGAAGCTGAGGGGAGACCTTATTGCTTTCTACAACTACCTGAAAGGAGGTTGTACAGAGGTGGGT